TTATTACTGTTACAACATGGGCTAAAAATTGGGGTCAAATAATCCGTTTTGAGTTTAATCCAGTACGAAAGCAAAAGTCTTTCTGCCAGGAAACAGTCATGTGCGTTCTTCATAGAGACTAGGACGAGATACTCACACTACCTGTTGGTGCAGTTTCTTTGGTATTTCATTTTGGCTGTTTTACAGAACACCGTATTTCTCTTTTCTTCCTTTCCTTCAGTTGTAGATGATGTTCTTTCAAAGAAACTGGTTCTCACAATTTGCTTCTGAAAGACCGAGCGAGTTCAGGAGGTTTAGATAAACTTCCAGCAGTCAAAAATCAGTCGGACATTGGACCCTAAACTGCCACTTGCTGAAACTTTAAGCGATAAGAAGCTGCTGGACGTGTCGCAAGTAGTCATCAAGGATATGAGGATGTTTTTCCAGTAAGTTTAGTCTCAACACCATAAAGAGTAATAAAAACGGCAATATGTCATAAAAGCTCAAAACAATGAGAGGACTCTTTTCCTCTACGAGTTGGGAAACTTGTTTCACACCACATGCTCTCCATATCGAGTACATTTGGGACTAATTGCAAGTCTTGTACACTACGTCTGAGTACAGACCTCCAAAGGAGCCCAGCTCGTTGGGAGTCAGTCCAGATCCCTGACACATCACCATGGAGAAGGCACTCCATTGAAAGGGTGAGAATAAATGCACTCTGAGGGGTCCTGGCACATTTATGGTGCTGTTTAAAGAAAAAAGTGGAGGAGCTGAGCCTCATTCAGGAGATCCACACACATTTAGGAGGTTTTGGTTTGGGGGGTTTATTTCACCAGATCAGATTTGTTAAGTATCCGAAGCCTCCCTTTGAGTCAACAAACTGTGCTGGTGTAATTACAGTGTTCATGTGTGCACAAACACTCCACTGGGAGAGGCTGCACAAAATATTTTCCACAACTCAAGACATTCTGAAGACTGGATACTCGTGCACAGGTGCAAAAACAAGAAACTTACCTGGAATGGGAGTTCAAAGTTGAGCAAACTACATCCAAAGAGAGAGACAGAGACGCTAGATGGGGAGGGAAGTATCCGGGATTCTTGGTTCTTGCCCTCGGCTGAGTTGGACCAGGACTGGGTTGGTGCTGGGAGACAACAGCAGGCAGGTTTGTCTGGGAGCGGCTCACACCTTTTCGGGTTTAACTCCTTCACTTCCTTCCTGCAGGAGAGGCCACTCACTCAACCTGTTTGTAACCTGTTCTGGACTTACAACCGAACTCCTCCTAAAAGCCTCACAGAACTGACTCTCTCAACAACAACAAGAAGTTTTGTCAAAGTGAGCTCTGGTGGTTCCTACAGAAACTTCAGCTGAAATCTTGATTCAGCTTCTTTAAAAAAAAAAAGAGCACCTCTTTTTCCCCCACCGCACTGAAATGGCATCCCATTCATATGTAGATGAGCTGGCAGAGAGACATCCTCGACTGCAGAAAAGTTAGTAGTTAAATCAATAATTGAATGTAATTAATTTTTTAAGAGTTTTAAACACCATTATCTACACCCACATAATTCAAGACTGATTAACACGTCTCTAAAAACAAATAATTAAAGAAGTTTGCATAAACTTGCCTTCTTAAGTTGTGTTTTTATTGTTTGTTTGTTTTTTGTCAACAGTGGTGGAAAATATAAATTTCTGGAGATGTGGAGGTTGAAATAAAATGGGCTTAGAAAAACAAATTAGCATAGCTGTTAGCAATAAATAGCATTGCTGATTGATGCTATACTTCTAGCAACATTTGTGTTGTTTTTATGGTAGCAGCTGCTAGCAACAGTTAGCATAGCTGTTTGAAGCTACATGCTGCTGCAGCAGTTAGCAT